CCCCCCAGGCTTCTCCTGCCATTTCCTCTTCCAGCCTCAGCCACCTCCCTCCCCCATGTTCCTTCTTGCTAGCTGTGCAGGGGAGGGGAGCTACCTCAGTACTGCTCTGGCAGTCGGGGCCTACACTGCAGCTGCCCCCTTGCCTGGTGGAGGGGAGGAGAGGAGGGGCAAGCAGTCAGCACTGGGCACATCCCTCTGCACCCCCCAGCAGCCACAAGCCAGGTGCTGTTTTCCCCAGCCTAAAGGGGAAAGCCGAGTCCCTGGGTCATGGGACGCCATTCCCCCATCACCACCTGCAGTTCATCCTCAGCTCCCTTTAATTATCACTATCCCTGCCCCCTTACCTCTTCCCACCTCCTAGAATTACCCCCATGCTGCACCCAATCATTCCCCGCCCGCTACTGCTCCTCTCCATCCCCATGACGCCCTGATTTTCAGTCCTCAGCGAACCCCAAAGATGGACTCCGCTTATGGGCTTTGCCTTTCCAGGTGGAATTTCTGGGTATGGGCCTTGCATGGGGAAAAGTGAAGGGGAAACTCCACTTGATAGAAATCCTTCTAGTTCAAGCTGTTCATTTAAAAACATAACCCCTTTCCATTATATTTCTATTACCCGGGGAGACCGCTCCTGTTGGTAAAGTGTGAGAGGCGGCAGCACAGTGAAATTTGCACTCATCCTTTTAACAAAGAATTTGCACGCTATTTTTAAAGCACCACTAGACTATGGATATACTAGGATAACACACCACACACACCTGCAACACACCCATGGCTGCTTTCAATTCTCAGTGCTTTGGTTCCACACTATGCTCTGCATTACAGCTGGCAAAAGTATATTTAGCTCCTTTTGGTTCTGTAAAAACTCCTGCTACTAACACTCCTGCTCATTTTAGATCTTCCCATTGTCAATTGCAGGCACGGCGCTCATTTTGCTTTAGAACAAACAAAGCAATTCCTTCCCATCAGCCCAGCCCAAAGGTGAGAGCCATTTCCCCACGCTCCTGTGAAAGACGTGGCAGAAGGAATGTCCCAAAAGCTGAAAAAAAATGAGGTGGTCTGGGTATTATAAAGGGGCAGAGAAGTTGTTAAATTAAGCCAAGTGGAGTAACCCTTACTAGCAAGACTATCA